TCAAGTTTTAATCATCCGAAATCAATGTTTCATCATTTCAATATCATGGTGTTAGTTTTTATTTGCTTATCATCATAGTTTAAACATGCTGAGAGAACAAAGAATTTAGAAAAGTTGGTTTACTTTATTGAATGAATGGTTACCCGAGTTACAAAGTTGGTTACAACATTCATAGTTTCCTAGTTGTTATCCTCTACTTCTCATATGTATACTAGGTACATACAATTTTACTTATATAGTTAGAAACTACAAATAAATATATTCTCAATACTCTCCCTCAAGATAGTGATTAAACATACATGTCATAAATGTCTAACTTAGACAAAATGTAATGATGATGATTGTTATTAAGACCTTTAATAAAAAAAAATATGTAATTTGCTCTCCTGTCTTGATTAGGAGTGATCATTCGAGTTAAACGGTTCGATTTTGTACGATTTGATTCGATTTTTGGTTAACCGAATTAAGAAAAATAAAAACCAAAACCGAACCAAAATAAATTCAGTAAATTTAGTTTGTAACTGAATTATTTCGGTTTGGTTTTGAAATATTTCGGTTTTAACCGAAATATTTTGCTTGTAAAAAAAATCATTACGGAGAGATGTTTTGTACTAGCACTTAGTCCACTAACCAATGAAGTAATATCTTGTTATCAATTAATCCTTTTTATAGACAATCACAAAGCCCTTGAAGATTTTAACTAGACTTTAATGAAAACTAGTCCAAGTGTAATTGATTTTGTCATTCAAACACATTGTATCCCAATTAATTACACTCTTTCACTTTCTTTTCTTACCCCAAAGGTCCTCAAAATTTACTTCCCATCTGCGTGTTTCAGTTTCAGCAAGAATGAAGATTGAAAAGTTATGGATTTAGAAATTAGGAAATTTTTTACTATTTATTTCGGTTTTCGATCGAAATCGAAATTTTTTTCTAAAAATCGAACCGAATCGAAATAATTTTGGTTTTTTCGATTCGGTTTTATATTGTATAATTTTATATTTAAAATCAAATCAAATTTCATAATTTGTTTCGGTTTTATTCGATTTTCAATTAACCGAACCGTTTGCTCACCCCTAGTCTTAACAAAACAAGCTTGATCAAACTTTCTTTAAGTGTCTTTCTAATTAAATCATAATCAATCTCTATGTGTTTAATTCTTTAATGAAAAACTAGATTGGAAGCAATATGTAAAGCGACTCTATTATCACAACACATCTCAACTACTCTCAAGTTTGTGATCTATAATTTTTTCAATAATCCGACCACTCAAATTACCTCACATGCAACTTGAAACCATAGCTCTATATTCTCGCCTCAGTTGAAGACCTATAAATAGTATTTTGTGTTTTTATTTTCCAAAATAAAAGAAAATAAACACATAGAGACTAGTTAAGGATTTTTTTATCATGGGACAAGAAGCCTAACGAATCACAAAATACTCTAAGTTGTAGATCACTAAAAGAAAACATCGAATGCTAAGACTAAATTGTGTTAGTGTAGGCGACCAAGATCCAACCTATTTGATTGGTTTGAATATTGTATTATTGCATTTTTATTAATAAAGAAGTCTTTCCATTAATTCATGCTATTTATAACTTGATTGAATTAGATAGAAATTTATATGATATTCATTACCTTAATGTTTGATCAATAAATGTGAAACAAACACCAATGCACTCAAATAAAATCATTAAATATCTTAAGTTATAGTATTATCAAAATTGGACATTGAAAATATGTGATAAGACTTATATGTGATATTCTCTTACTATAGGATAGTAGTAGGAGATCTCACACTTACTAGTATGGTGATGCCTAAGCAAGCATACGAGTAAATAATATTAGAGAGCATATCACTAGACGTGACTCACCATGAAAATCTATTTGGTATAGTCTATGAAAATCTCATATACGATGGGTACAAATAGTCATTTGACTTAAAGTTATCATGATTATTTCATCGGAGAATTGGTGTACTTTGACATTCGTTACAATGGGCTGAGTAAAGAGCTATATGTGGATGATTTGTTGGGTACATTAGGAATTTAATAGATATAGGCGAGATTAACTAATATAGGACATGTTATATTTTATATATTAAAGGAGTTATCACATTGCATTTCAATGAATGTTTGCTTAAGAATTTTTTACCATAATAGAAATATACCAATAGAAAATGATTAGTTTATTTGAAAGCTAAGACATTCGGAGATAAAAAAACTTATATAATCATAATTAAATAGACACTAAACCAAGTTTAAGATCATATTGTAATAAATTGACATGAGAACTAAATTGAATGAAAACCATACTTGTTAAAGGTTGTTGCAGATTAAGTAATCCTTCGTGATATTTGAGTAGTCATGATGCCTTGCTTAAGGTTAATATTGATTTATATATTGAGAGATAAAATAATTTTCTTTTACTTTTCGATATATTATCAACATATTTAAAAGCTTATTGAGTCACATGTATAAGCTTGACATTGATTAGGATAAAAAGAAGCATAGAATTATGAAAGAGAATGGAAATTGAAATAATTGATTTAGATTTCTTAAGCACTCGAAAGAATTTTGAAAATAGTTTTCTAAATTGGATTTCTTATAATTTAGGAAATAGTTTCCTAAATTGAGTTAAAATATTAGGAAATAGATTTATAATCTAATAGGGGTAATTTAGGAAATAGTTTCTCAAATTAAACCTCTCTAAAATACCTAACACAACTTATTTGTATGGTCAATTTAACTCGTTGAGTCATTGGGCCAAATGTGCTTAGGCCAACAAGCTTAAATGAAAGCATGTAAGAGGAATTTTAAGTGGAAGGATATTTTTGAGAACTTTAGAAAAAAATTCATTAAACCTAATATAGGGTTAATAAAACCATCATTGCTCTTTGCTTCTAATGAAATCATCATTGCTTCTAATGAAATCATCATTGCTTCTACCAAATGAGTTCTCGGTTTGAAGCATTTTCTAGTGACAAAACTATCATTCCTCTTTGCTTCTAATGAAATCATCATCACCTTACTCAATGAACTATAATCTTCTTCACCTCCGAGTAAATGCGTAACAAGAATCAAATCTGGTCTATCTAAATGATGAAGATATAGAAGATCATTGATGTCTCTTATCGAAGCAACGAACTTGTGAAGAGTTTGAAAGATTAGTTTGATTCTCCATGAATCTGACTTGAAGAACAAATTTCTCAAAGAAAAAAAAATTACTAGATCTTAAAGAAGAAACAAATATTTAGATCATTCAGATGATAGAAGTAATTCTAGCTGAAGAAGAAGAGAGAAAAATTTGCAATCCTGATATCTTCTTGGGAGAAAAACAATATGAAAAAGTTGGTTTACTGCATTGAATGAACTATTATCCAGTTACAAAATTAGTTACAACATTTATACTTCCCTAGCTATTATCCTCTAATCCTCGTATGTATGCTAACTATATATAATCTTACTGAAGTATATACAGTTGGAAACTATAAATAAATATATTTTCAATAAAACCTTAAAATTTCCCGTTTTATTCATTTATTCGCAATGCATATCATTCTTCACTTTGTTGAACATAGAAGTGAAAGTAAATTGTATTCAGTACCTGCAAAAACAAAAGTAGAGTCATTCTTATATTAATGGAGAAATCGATTAAGCCACGGCCTCAACTTCAAAGCTCAATCTGAATCTAGTCTTCCCCTTTCAAAGAAAATAATTTCAAAAGATTGGGCCAGAGCGTATGCAATGGACTTTATTGAGTCTTTAGACAACAACAGAGAAATAATAATAATAATAATAATATAGGCCCAAAGTAACCTAATTTCAGAATAATATAGGCCGAGTCTGGCCTGACTTCAAAATTTAATCGACAAGACTTTGGAGATTAAGCCCAGCCCAAAAGGGTTTCAGTGTCAACATGATGAAATGTAATAACAAACGGGATCTATTTTGTAATGAATGCAGAGTTTCCACTCATCTTGATTGATTATTTAACTTGAAGGAGAAACCTGATGTCAGTGCAGAGAATCTTCACGTTTGCAAATTGGAAATACTTTCTGAGCAAGTGCCAAATACAGTTTGCCTAATATTGAAACATTACATGCCTAGACTTTTGTAACACCAGAAACTTCTGGAATTTACCAGCCTGTGCTTGTTATTACTATTGTTGACTTAAGACGGAAAAATAGATTTTCATTTGGTTGTTGAGGTAGAATTTGTTGGTAGTCTAGACTTGCCAAACGGTCAGAATTGTATCAATTTAGTGTTAGAGATTGCATTTAGGTTCCGGAAACTCACTCTCTTAGATGCGAATAAACATATTCAGAATTGTATCAATTTGGCTTTGAATTTGTCTTGGTTCTAGAGAAGGCAAGTTGTCAAAAATTGTGAGAAACAAATGAAAAGAAAAATGCAGGCCCAGACTGAACACGCTTCCAACACGAATGATGCGTCATCGATTTTCAGCATTGATGAGACTTGGATTTTCAGCATCCATATTAGTTGAGTTTGACATTCAGCTTTCTTGATTAGATTGGAAAATTGGTGATGATGTCATCTTAAATCCTGCATGTATGAAAGGCAAAAATTGGTGTTAGCGATGCTGGGAGTTCTCGGAGTTAACAAAGCTATTTTGATTATTAAATCAATATTTCAAGCAAATTGTATAAGAATTTTATAGAGAGATGACTTTCTAAAGAATAAATGTGCATTCTATTGTATTGCCCCTAGTTTAACTTGTATTTTATGAGGAAAAAAAAAGAAAAAAAGAGAGAGTCAATTTATAGAGAGAGTACAGTAAAAAAATAATAGATACAGTACATATTTTTGAAGTGTTAGGGTAAATAGTTACTAGGTTTCCAAAAAGGGAGAGCCATGACAGTTAAAGAGCCTAATTTTAATAGGGTTTGTGAGAAAGTGGAAATTTAATGTATCATCAATTAACATGAGTCTTTTACACCTACATACATAGAGCATGATATAACATAAAAGTTTACAAACATGACTGCACAGGAAATTGCAAACATCCCTATGAGTTGCAGAAAAATATGGGCACGCAGTGTTTTCAAGAATCATACCGTGATTGCCCTGGAATCCGTTCAGTGAGGACTTTAGGCCTAAGTTGATATAACTGATCACCTAAATCGTTAAGCCGTTGGTCCAGCTTCACTGTTTTTGGTTAGGTACCGAATTTGACAAAAATATGGAATATGTGGTCAAACCTTACGTCACTGAACTGAACAATTGAGAATTCTTTGACTAAATATGGTTCTTCCGAATCCGAAACCTTTCGCTTTGGATATTTGTGTTTCCTCTTTCATATGAAGTGTAAAATAGCGATCAAATTTGAATCTCTACTGATTATATTCTGAAAATATGATTTTCTTGTTTGACGGACATAAAGAAAAGAAGGGCTTCTGTATATATATATATTTTTTCTCTTTCTTTCTTTCTTTGTTTAATCCGACCGTCCATTGATGGTATGTATATTTCAAGCCTCTTCAAAGTTTATTACCGTAAGACCAAGAAATCCTGCAAATATATAGTTAACTATTTTCTGACCTAGAAGCCTTTTTTTTAATATAATTGACTGACTACTGAGCCATGGAGGACCATTCTTTTTCGTATAGACATATAATAGCCATTCAAATGCAAAATCGAATATCCTTTTTTTTTACTTGCTTCCAAATTTTTATATTCTATAAAAGAATAATAATACCAGTAGTATACTCTTTTTTGAAGTACTTTTTTTTTATTATTATTATATTTGTATATCTATTATATCGATGCTTTTAGTTTCCGTGGATTACTTTCGTGCGAGTATGACCATTCAAAACGGGATCAGATCAAACTGTAGATAGAAGTTGTCGGTGAGTCGACGGATCTTGATTTGCCAACCAATGGACCGTGTATTTACCATCAAATAAAAAACAATGGGCCCCGTATTATAATTGTTATCTTTTAACAATTAATTTTTGTCTCTCTCACTAAACAATAACCACGACCAAACAACCCTAATTTACGTGACGACAACAAAAATATTAATTTATCGTAAACACTTGTGATACGTTAAAATAAAATAAAATAAGGGTAATCATTGGTATTATTTTTATTCTTTTCCTTAATTAATTTTTTTATAGCGCAATTTACTTTGAAAATTCTTCCTTTCAGAAATTTAATTGAATGAATGGGTTATATCCTCGTTATCATTTACTGCATGTACAAAATTATTGTCAATATAGTAGTTGCCGTCTCTTCATCTAAGCAAATAGATTCCATTAAGAACAAAAGAAATTCAAGATTATTTGGGTTTTGGCATTTGATGTCCTTACGATTTACGACTCAGTTAGCAGTGGCGGATCCTTTTAGAGGCTGGGGAACCTAGCAGCCTCCCCGAGTGATTTTCAATAATATATTCATTTAAGTCCTTGTAGTTTTCAAATTATTCAATTCAATCATTGCATCTCAAAATTTGCTTGCAATTCTATACTTGATTTCCATTTTCTTTTTTGCTAAACATCTCTCTTTATGTCTGGTATAGATATATAACAAACATATTAGTTTCAAGTAATACATACACATTTTTTCAAAACAGTTTTTTTCCCTTTTTTAAGTAAAATGTAAAAGAAATTTTTTGTATACTCATCATAGGATCAGACAACACAAACATGATCACAACAAAATTTTGATAATTAAATGCTAACTGAAGGTTGAAATTATATTTTTAATCGTGTTCTTGCCTCTAAAATCACGTTCAGGATTCGTTATTGCCAGTCAGTGGGTGAAACCGATCTTTGAGTGATCAATCCGAGTAGTAGATGCTTAATTAAGATTTTCCTAATTCGTAGCTAAAATTTGTGGGAATTTGTTTTATAGTTAAACTAGATATTTCTTCTACAAATTGATTGTTCTGACCATTCTAAAAGCGAAGGGAAAATTTTTTTTCTTTCCGGTGTTTTGGCCGGGATATCATTTCAATTTGCAGGCGAGCTTGCATTAGTAGAATTGCTATAAGAAATACATCTCAAAAGTTGCACGAGCAATAAAATTTTGTAGCTTTTAACACGTCCACCAAAACCTTCTATTTAGCTTTTAAGACATCCACCAAAACCTTCTATTTTATCAGACTATATAACAGTTGTTTATCAAATCCTGTAGTTTTTATTTTTGTTGTCAGATACAGTAGTGGCTTTCAGCACATCAACAATTACAGCTTATGTTCGGCTAGAAATTTATTTGTTTGGATAATAATAATAAATAAAAAGAGTAAAAAAAACCATCAATTAATGCAGTTATCACTCAAAGCTTCTGAAAATCATTTTCCTCAGCTTTCAAAATTTTTGAAAAAATTGAAAAATCAAACGATGCCAAATAGCCTCTAATTAAAATTTGAGGCTACAATCAGCAATTTGAAGCCTCCCATTTTAAATTTTCAATTTGTAATAAAAAAATGCAGAAAAAAAAAAGCACAATAGGTACATTAAAGACAATTCTTCCATTCCTTTCTCAACTAAAGACCCAAAAAGCTGTTAGCATTCAGTATATGAAAAATATTAACAAAGATGTTTGTATAATTAGATCCAAAAAAAAAAAAACGAAACTAAAATCACTATTATCTGATAATTAATCAGCATCCATTCTACCTTCTAAATCTACACAGGCACAGAAAATGAGGGCTTAAACGGAGCCGGCTCGTAACAAAAAGGAGCCGCTGGGTGCTGCCACTTCTTGAACACCACTGACTTGTCCGCCTCCGTTCCCTGACTCCTCGGCGGCGGTGGCGTAACCTCCCGAGACTTCATATCTATCGCTGTAGGCGACGTGTTAAGCGGAGACAAAAGAGGAATAGCAGCGTTCCAACAGGAAGAAGCCGGACTGATCTGCAAGGACGCCGGTCTCCGCTGTTGCAGTCGGCTGGGCTGCGACCGTGCTGCGGTGGAGTCGCTATTTCGAAGTGTTTCTGCCATTATTAAGACTGGTGATTTGGGTTTTGTTTTAAGTTATGTTTTGAGGAGAGAAGAGGAGGCATCGTTATATATATATATATATATATAGGATAAGTAGGAGAGTAGGGGTGGCCCCTGTCTGGGCGTTATGGGCACGTGGTGTACACGTTTAATAAAGGGTATCTTTTCCTTACAAGGAAACAGTCAAAAATATATAATAATAGTGGACAATATGGCTCGGCTTTTATTTAGCCTTTGCCTTTTGTTTATTGGCTGTTTTTTATTTGACTGCAAGAGTTTGAAGGGTTTTTTTTTTAAAAAAAAAAAAATCATTATTCCTTTGGTTTAGTAAATTTGTGAGACTTTTTCTATGTTCTCTTTTGCATTTTTTTATATGGGGTCTGGTTTGACCAAATTTATTTGGAAAAAGAGCTAAAAAGGTGGTAAAAGAAAAGGAATAGTATTTTCTTCCTTTTCGTTAACAAAGCCTAATAAAAGTAATAACAAGTATTACTTACCATCTATTATTTTCAGTCAAAGTTTTTTTAAGGTAACAAAATCATCCATGAATTCACCTAACAATACCCCATTTCTTTTCTTTCCTTTTTTTTATTTTTTAGTTTTTCATTAATTTTTTTTACTAAATTAATATTATGCATAGAGACAAACTATATAAAAATATCCGATACAATAATTTTTTTTCATATTTAACCAGCCATTTAATATTTTTTTTAGAACTTACAAATTGTATATATTAAATTAGCTAATGCGATTTCTCCCTTAAAAAATTATGACAATTAAAAATATATATAATGATACTAAATATATAATATCAATTTTGATTCCTTTTCTTGTTTATGTATATAACTTTTCTTAGGATGCTTATTTCTACATAACTTTAAGTTATTGTTTGGTAATAAGGAATAGAGTGGTGAGAATGAGAATAAAAGTTTTATTTTCACATTGTAGCTTGTTTGGTTAAAAGGAATGAAGTGGGAATGAGAATGAAAATTTACACATCACTTATTCTCACATAAAATATGAGAATAAAATAAGAAATCGGAATGAATTTTTTTTCAAAATAATAATATATTTTATTTATTTATTGTCTATTAACTACTTTTACCACAACTATCAATACCATCACCACCTCCATAAACACAACCAGCACCAATACCATCATCATCATCATCACAACCACCATCGTCACCACCACCACAAGCATCACTACCACTATCGCAATCATTACCCCCACCACCATCACAACTAAAACAACCATTATCATAATCATCATCATCATCTTTATTATTTTTACAACAATTATAGTTTGATAAAATTATTTTTTTAATCCTTATTTTTATTTGTATAAAAAATTAAATATTAAAAAAATTTAAATTGCATTATGATTTCTCATTAGTATTCCAACATAGTATGAGAATACAAATACAATTCGATTCTCGCATTCTTATTCTCATCACTCTATTTCGATTACCAAATAGCACTTAATAATCAACTACTTGATTTGTTTTAATAATAATATTATTATTTAGAGGTTAGGTCATTGTACATAAAGGAGTTTATTATTATTATTATTGATTTTTTAAATTTGAATCTAAAGAGAAATATATATATTTTTTAAATCGCTCTCTAAATATACTAGATTAATATAATAAATCCATGTAGTTTTAGTTGGTGTATAAATTAATCTGAAAATATTTTTTTAATTATTCAAACAAAATTATAAATAGATGACGTGTACACGTGGTCTCGTCAAATGTCCTAAATTCACTAGTTATTACTATTTTTTATTATACGGGAGATTAAAAAAAGAAAAAAGAAAAAATTGAGCTTTCAGAAACGGAAAAGGGCTTGGTCATTCCATTCCATGAAATTCTACTAAAAACTGGTGAAGAAGTTGAGAAATTTAAGAAGGCTAATTGAAAAAAGAAAAATCTATATAGAGTAGCCATGAAAAGGCGAAGTCGATATATTATAAGCTGAGCCAAGCGAAGGTGAGAAAGCAGCAGCAGCAGAAGAAAACCAAGCTGATAGACAAAGGTAACATAAAGCCAAAGTAACATGATCAAAAAGGCTAGGCTGAGTTGGGTTTCTGACACCTGACGTCTCTCTCTCTACACACCCCCAGCCCCCCCCCGCCCAAATAACAACAACTAAACTTTAACCGACCCAACGAACTTGAAAACTGTGGGGGGGCCTTTCTAAACTCCTACACCATCAGATTTTTGACCCACTCTTTTCCATCCTACGGCTCAACACAAAGATGCTTCATGCCAACGTTACAGTATGTGTCTGCCTGCCTACAGTATGTTAATGGTCTCTTTGATGTGATCGAACAAATTATCTACGAAAGAGAGAGAGAATCGAGTGGATGGACTCATGGTTACGTGGCCAATCCCAAGCCTTGTTTGATCACCAAGTGTGTGGCGTACATCAGTTGTTATCCACTCCTATTGGCCTTTCCTTGAATTTTTGGTGATTAATGACGAACCAGTATCGATGTCAAAATCCAGTTGTAATTGGTCAAGGACCACGAGAACCTTGGATTGGAATTTTCGAACAAAAACATTTGCCTGTTTATAGTCAAGCATCATACACTGTTGTTGGATTTGATGAAGTTCAAAGAGAATAATTTGCTAGAATACTTTTTGAAACGCCTGGATTTTACAAAATTGGCCTCACACTACTATATAAACAAGACGTAAAACGGATCATTGTCATAATTTATCTGAAAACCATGTTGAGTTCTTCGATCCTTGGTGACCGGACTTCCTCGTCGGTGAGGGCACCGTCAATCGTGCGTTGCTTCCTCGTCTGAACCTGTTGCAGGCGTTCCTCCACTGTGCCCTGTCACATTGGTCAACTGCAAAATCATATATGATTAGGTGCTAAGTGCCAACATTGGCAAAGATGGAACAAAAATGTATTGACACTGGCAGGAATCCTGTCAATAGACCTGATGATTAGTAAAACCCAATTCAAGATTGACCCCAGGCCTAGTTGTTTATCCAAGCTCAAACCTGACTACTGCAATGCACAGGCACAATACAGTAACTGGGTAACAGGATTTCAATATAAATTATATTTCCAAATTTGAATCTAGACGAACAGTGCTGGCTGAGCTGCCTTCTAAAGCAGTATGAAGCACTTTCGGAGTTCCAGGCAAATACCACTTGTAGAGATAATGCAACGGGAGGAATGCATCGAGTCCACTGAAAATGACCTTGAACCAACGTTGAAGCTTTTGGAATAGGTAAACAGTTAATTGTCAGCCCTCAAGTTGCCCCAACATTACGCAGAGAAAAATGAGACTAGGCATGTGACTAGGACCTGTAGGAAAGCTTCCAATTGGTAAATTATATCCGAAATCAAGAAGCTTCGAAGACTTTGTTGTTTTTCACTCTCAAAATTTGGCTTTGTCTAATACCTGTTCTATTGTACTCAATTAAACCATGGACCAGCGTATCTACATCAAGGTGGAACGCACATAATCAGATTGTTAGAATTTTCAAAGAATCCAAAGCCAGAAGTTTCAGGTCAAATTTTTGACAGTTTCCAGAAACTAGAGCTTCCATAAATTCAAATTAATTTTTGAAAGCTAGGAGAATAATCTGACCTTAACAATGAATCTTCTAACTGAAACAGTGTGTTTTTGTCCAATCCGGTGAATTGGCATTATTGCTTGCTCCTCTACTGCAGGATTCCACCATGGGCATAGTTCGATATAGCAAGTTTCAACGTAATGGAGGGAAATTCTTCGTTCAGAGAAAGGAAACACTATAGGAGATTTGAAAATTACCATTAAAAAGATATTTGAGGCTGCAGTTAGATTCAGATCCACACCACCAGCTTACGAAGACATCAGTAATACCTAAAATTTACAGAGCAGCAAGCAAAAGATAGGACCACAATGGAGCAAGGTTTAATTAATAAGCTCGAGACAGGAGTTATTGGAAACTGCATACCATTTTTTATTTGGTTTTGCTAAACTCCTTCAAAACAGAGCCCTTTGCTTCTCTGCCAGTTTTCCATCAAACCCTAGGAACTCAATTCCTCTTCTTCTCAGTGGGATCTCTAAGTGGTCCAAAAATGAAGTCAACTGACTAAAAACAATGCTCTTTTCACCAGAACCTGACATAAGAATATGTTACAAGCATCCCAGGAGCTTCGAAACCTTTGAAGACTCCTTCGAGTTCTTCTCAACATCAACCCGGAACTTGTTCTCTTTTGGGCATGTTATGAAGTCAGTTTTCTTCAGCGTTGCTCGACAGATTGGACATAGCCCAGTTGTTGGAGTTCGCCAACTGGAGAGGAGATATTCCTGCACATCCTACGTGCACATGGTGTGAGCACAGGATCATCTGCAGACTCCACGTATGTGGGGCACTCAGTATTTTCGGCCCATCAGATGCCCTCAACAATCTCTTCAATATATGCCAATGTCGGGACTGTATGTTTTGGAGTGGCATGATCAGCAATTGTTTCCAGGAACCTTCTACCATGCGTTTCCAAGTCAGCATACTGTTGTGAATCAGCTCGACTGCATATGTTCAGACAATCAGAAACAAGGAAACAGAAAGAACAGCAGAAGATTTGTCATTTTTTGTCAACAAATTGTTGATGACATTTGCAACCATATTCCTGCTACCTCATAACCAGACATGGGTGATTGCAACACTGCCTCAGTTGAAGTAGTAGCTCAAGGATTGAAGCATGGTTACGAAGGACCTTCCCTTGTGCCACAAACTGATCAAATTGAACCTGTTTGCATTGTATAAGCAACATTTATTTTCATTCTTTATAGAAGCCTCTGCTGACTAGCTAAATATATTCCTGAAGCAATTAAAATACTGCGATGCTAATACATTTTAATGGAGATTTTTTTCTTCATCATATGCAATTGCAATCTTATTCTTGGTTCTGTATGGGAGGCAATAGTAAATAGATGACTATGTACTTCAATTCATCAGGAAAGTTAAACAACTAAAAATAACGGGAAACGATAGGATTCTATTTTCATCACCATGTGAAATCTCATTTTTGGTCTTGTATGGAAGATGAAAATAAACGAAACTGGTATCGAAAACAATACTGTTCACTCTCGATGTTTTGAATCAGTTGGAGGAAGAACAAGTTTGGGCCTGAAATCAAATAAACCATCCACCAAACATCAAATTACTGATAAAGGATTTTGTTGCAAAAAAAAAATCCAAATCCAAAAGGAGAAACAAAAGAAGGAATGACCACCTTCCTTGTCCTTGTATCCTTGGTTCTCCGCAACATTAATGGCCTCAAAATAGCTTTGATCTATTTCAGGCCTCTTGGATCACCATTGTCATAAGTCTTCTGAATCAATTTGTTCCACCTGTACAAAAGTTAATCTTATTATGAACAAGGTGTCCAGACGACTAATCTCACAGCTTAATTGTACAAGCTACAACAATCAAGATAATGGGGCTATCTATGCAAAATATCAACTACTCATCTACACCATGCAGTAATCAATTTAGTGATGTGCTTGTGTAATCCTACCATGTCCAGTTGCACCAAGGTTCCACATGCAAGAAGCATAGAAGGCTGTACAGGTCTTCCGGGTGATTCTGCAGCAATTGATGACAAACAGAATTCATTCTTTCATTAACAATCTAAAACTAGGCATCCTTTTGTCAATTTTTAAGACTACAAGCCAACCATACCTTTCTGAAAAAGTAGCATCGCTATTCAAGAAATGGATAGAATCAAGTAAGAGATGTGAACCACATTGCTTCAGGGATCTCGAGTCCCATCAATTTTGGACAAAATAAAAAGAAAACAGATCAAAGATTAAGTAAACAGACCTGAAGAGGCGTCCCTGTAAGACACCACTGACAGTTTGAGGACAACACAAAGGCAGCACGAGCAACCATTGTCTTCCAGGATTTAATGGTATGAGCTTCATCTACCAGCACCCTATCCACTCCACCTGATGAAAAATGCTTTCTTCGGAATACTTGTCACCCATACAATATGCAACCCAGTATGGTTGAAGAGTTTTTGTTGCCTTCTCGACATTCCTTTCTCTAATTTTAACATCTAGTGGAGAGCTTGTTTCTAGTACGCCCTTAAATCACACATCAGTGTGCTTTGAGATTCCATCTCCTACATAATCAAGAGTGAAATTAGAAGAGTTCAAAAGCAATTATTTTTCTAGGTGCCGATAGCATAAGACATCATTCAAAGTGCTCACCTCCAAGTTATAAGTATCTACTACACCAAAAAGGCTTTCGTTGATATAGCTTGCTCATCTTTGTTTTATTCTGAAGGTTGTTGGTACCATTTCTCCTCTTTTCCATAGGTAAGATTGCAACAGCTTCATCTGGATCACTTTATTTTGACAAAAAACATTATCACTAGCATAAATTATCTGTATGATGTGAATTGCTTAGATGCTAGCAGTATGGTGCATATTATTTGCGCAATCAGAGACGTAAATTTTCATGTAGCAATATTGAACTGCTAACAATTTTGTATAGCAAGCATAAAAAAACCTATATCATTAACATCATCGAACATAATAAAAAATCAGTTCTGCAATTTTGTGCTATTACTGGCATATTAGTGCCAGTAGATGCCATGTTTATAGTGATCCAATTCAAGATGGGGATTGTACTTATCGGTGTATAAATCAAAAAGGGATAATGCAAAACTCATTCAATATTGAGTGTATGAGTTAGGATTATACTCTTGCAGTACGTTTGTAATTACTTGTCACGCTTATTACTTAAGCAATATGCAGTAGTAACAGGTTTAAAAAGTTGAATCTATATATAATGAAGCAACTGTGATTATGAAAGGCAATAAGACAAGAACAAAAGTATAATCGCACATACTTGAAGATTTAATAAATGTTTTTGAGAAGGAATGAAGAAAGACACAGAAACAATATGAACGTATAATACAAATACAATATGCAGTCATTAGTACATAAAATTAACATCACCATAAGGCACCTCTTGATATGTTTTTATATTCAGCAACTTCAACAGAGTAAGAAAGCATAAATTGTAGAGTCAATGTTTGAAGGATCTTCTAGCCTCCATAGTAACTAACTCCGTGAATATTGAATGATGAATAGAAAGGTTTTCTGGTGCAATTACATGAATAAACACTAAATTCTTAAAAATTGAAACTCCACATACAAAAATATTCCCTCTATCTCAAAAAATTATCCTCCTTTCTATTTATATCTGTTCCAAAATAATTATTTGGCCAAAACTTTAAATATTATACTTTCCTAAAATACCCTTAATTAATTCTTTCTTCCCTTTCTTATTTTTTACTAACTAGAAAAATCAATATTTTTTACAGTTTTTTTTTATACATAAAAAATTTCAAAAAAACTTTTTATTACATGAAAAACTATTCATTCTTCTAGAAAATCCATAGCAGCTTGCAAAATATTAGGATTATATTCAAAACAAATTGGACCTATATGCTCTAATTTTTGGGTGCTTAAATGAGAAATTTTATATTTATTCACATCAAATATTTTGGATTCTTTAATGAAAAACTATTTGTTAATTTTTTGGCTTAAGATTTTACGAAAAATTTAGGATTCCTTAATGATCTTTAAATCTTTCTAAAATTTTTCCAACTTAACTTAAATTTGAGAGGGACAAAAGTTTGATTTGGTACTCGTGATTTTGAGACTAATTTTTTGACATAATATTCCATGAGAAATTTAAGAAGGCTTAATGATCTCTAGATCTTTGCAAAATTTTTTGATTTAAATTTAAAAAGGATGAAAACCTTGATTTGATGCCTTGTTTTCGAAACTAATTTTTTTACTTAAAATTTTATGAAAAATTTAGGATTCGTTAATGATTTTTAGATGTTTCTAAAAGTTTTTCAACTTAAATTTGGGATGAACGAATATCATAATTTGGCACCTTGATTTTAGGAAGGCAAAGTGATCTCATATCTTTTTTAAAATTTTGAAACTCAAATTTGTTAACATGAAAGAGTATTTTACAAAAAGTAAAGATAAAACAATTCTATGACACCTAGGTCTTATGGTGAGTTGAGAATATACTTATCTTAGGATTTATCTAGTTTTGAAAACACCTTAAAGCTCTCAAAGATTTCCCTTTTCTTTCTTGCTTCACTTTTGGCCAAAGTCTATCTCCCTTCCTTTCAACCAAACTCTTTCTTCCTTCCTCTCGGCCAAACTCTCTCTCTCTCTCTTAACCAAGGTTTGCTTTTCTTAGCAAATTTGGTTTTCCTCTCTTGTTTTCTCTCTCATTGTTTTTATGTTTATCAAGATTAAAAACACTGCAAATAACCTAGCACTTTTTTTCCTCTCTTATCTAAAATCTAGATCATTCCAAGGAAGGTTAAGGTGTATACATGTATGGACACTTCAGCTAAGATATTTTCTTTAGGTGGACACTTGTATGAAACACTTAATCAAGAAAATTTTCAAGATTAACACTTGTATAGGATACTAGTCAAACTTTTTTTTAGATTAACACATGTATAAGATACTTAATCAAGTTATATTTCTAGGTCTCTCAAGTTTGAATAACTCAATAAACTAGACATCTTACTTTGTCACTTAATTCACTTAAGCCTCTAATCTTTTAAGTGTTATGTTCGGATCGCTTAGTCATTTACACACTCACAATACTTAGCAACATGGACTTGCAAAGCCAAACTTTCATGAATGTAAACACAAAACATAACAGGCACATACTTAATGAATAAACACACAAATATATAGGAATGTTTAAAGTCTCGAGTATTACATCAAAATCCCAACATATTTTTTAATTTGATTTGGTTTTTTGTATTTCTTTAATACATCAAAATAACTTTCATGATTTCAAACAATTTTATTTATTTATTTATTTATTTCAATGATTTTGAGTAGAAAATAGTGGTGGAACTGGATTCAAAAGGTTAGAAAATATATTTTCAGTTTTTTAATTTAATTTGAATTTTTGTATTTTTTAAGTATATTAAAATGAATTCTAAAGTTTCAAATGAGACTTTTGAGGTTATTTTAGTGATTTTGATGTGTTCTGTAGCAAAAATAATGGTCAAATTAGGTTTGAGAGGCTAGAAACAGGTGGTTTCGATTTTCTGTCGATTTTTTCGACAAACAAATGTTCATTGGAAGCTATAGAAAAAAAAAAAAACAAAAAAAAGTGGTTGGCCTGCACGTGTCTAGCCCCTGCATGCACTGGCATGGTTTTTTGAACCCAAGTGCGTAGACCAACTTACTTCTTATTTGGTATTTTATTTTTATTATTCTATTTTATGCTAAAATCATGCATGAAAATTGATTATTATTTTTTATATTTTTCACAAAACCTAGTGAGGAAGAATACTTGTGATATATCTTTGAATTTTAAACTAAATATATATTTCAAATTATGCGACTATTATTATTTAAAATTTATTTTTTTGATTTATCATTTCTTATAAAAATTCTCATTCAATTAATTTTTTTTTATGATTTATATTTCTCTATATCTGAATTTTGGAATAAAATTTTTACAAACATGATTATTTTCTTTTAAAAAGAAATTAATATGGTTTATACGATGGATTCTTATAATTTTAAAAAAGAGTTGTATGATTTTAAAATATGTATCTAATCTAAAGGCTAAAAGTGTGTTGTAGATTATTTGTTTCACATTTTTTGAAAAGATAATTTTAAAAATAATCTATTAATAATTAAAAGTAAGAAGTGAAAAAAAAATACTATTGCTTTATGTGTGAGGCTTGTGCATGGAGACTAGAAATGTAAGTTCTAGAAACAAAAAACATTTTTAAAAATGATAGAAAATAAAATTCATATCTTTTTTTTTCACTCTATTAACTCCAAATTTACTCAATATGTTCCTTACATGTTACGTATTTTTTAATATTTTAATATTATGTTGTAGCCTTCGAATCAATTCATTATAGTCATGCTGTATAAAAATAAAATAAAAAAAACTTGAATTATAGGCTTTATTGGACTGAATATTTACTATTTATTTATTAGATATTTTAAAGTTAACTTTTCTAAAAACAACTAATTAAAATAATATTGTAAAAACCACTCAATGATACCATATATTTTGAGTCATTTACTATTTAATGAATAAATTTATATAAATTTAATGTACGTACTTTTTAAAAAAATAATAATATTTACATCAATATTCAATAAGAATAAAAAAATATATATTTGTATTTTTTAATTTTATGGATTTTTTACATTAATTTTTACTTTATTTTTTTAAATACAATCTTAAGAAAAAAATATTAAGACATTTATTTTCTTAAATTATTATAAATTTTTATTCAAAAGAATTTATACATAAAGCAATTCATTTTTTTTTAAGGAGGAAATTTATGAAAAACATAAGAAATAATTAATTAAATACAAACTTTAATTAAAAATCATATAATTAAATAATTTAATATTTTTTTTACATTTGATTTGATATATTTGAATAGACATAAAACTAAAATAAAATTTTGAAATAATTTTGTCTATTATGCTTGATCCACAGTATAATGTAGAAAACAAACTAGTAAGTAAAACTATACAAATAAAAATATGATAACAAAAAATTAGGTTTTACATGCTGTTAATTTATATGCTCTGCAAATTATTTTGATAAATTATTTATTTATTTATTTTATTGATTGAATCTGTATGAGTTATGCAATGTCTAGTGCGGTCCTTTAATCACTGCCTAACAAGTTAATCCTTGATCAACAATTTGATCCATTGTACGATTGACATTTGTCCAAAATTGAGTCCCATTTTTCACCAACCCATGTTTTTTGTTTTTTTCCATATAATAAAATGAAAACTACTAATATATTAACCTAAAACTAAAAGGAAAATCCATCAATTTAAATCTTTTTAGGCTAAATTGTAATTTGCAAACTCTCTGTGAACTAAAGCTCAAGCCAGGGGGAAAAAAGCCCTCAGCTCAAAAAAATCCCAAGTTCCCCACTTAAACTACTTCGATATTTTATTGTAGCTCTTTCCATTAATCAATTTAGAATTCTGTTGAGAAATTGATACCAAAATTCTATTTTGAAATAAATATTATTTTAAGCTGTTGTCATGAAATTACAAAATAAAACGACCCTATTCAATAACAAAAACCCTTTTTTTTTTTTTCGAGTTTGCTTCTTCTTTGTAGTTTTTTTTTCTTTTTCAATTAAAAAGTGAAAAAGTGTTCATTTGTGGAAAAAGAGCAAGAATTTTTTCCATCAAAATAAATAAAAAAATACGTCAAGTTTATAGTTATTTTTTTAAAAAAATATAGAACCATAATTTATAATCACCACTTTAATATTATTTTTTATTGTGTCAATCTAATCATAAAATATTAATTTCATTCATTCAAATTAAAAATTACCCTAAAAAAAGTTATGCTTAACCAAAAAGAAGGAAATCTTTTACATAAGATTTATAATAATAATAAAAATTATGACTAACAAAATATGAAAAATATTAGAATTTTTTTTTAATGTTTTAGATTGATAAAAATCGTTTGTATGTAAGAGAAAAAAAATATTGTAATATTCATATTTTTAGTATTTTTTTTCATTTAAAAAACAATGAAAAACTTGTAAAGAAAAGCTATGAAAAACCTGGAAAATGTGTTTTGCAAATTCAGTACAAATTTAAAAAACTGAAAAACTAGTTTTTCAATTCTTTAAATAAGAAATACTATATCAGAACAAGCAGTTCCAATTACATAATGCCATATGGTACCCAAAACTAAATCTTTAATTTTTTTTTTTTTTGGTCCTACGCAAACACTATCATCGACGCCAATGAAAATTCACAACAACCCAACCATCAAATTAAAAAATAAATGTTTGAAAAACATACCCAAATACTAAATCATCATTTGAATGTGTTTGAAAAAATTATCCAAAACAACAATTTCGAAAGCATAATTAATGATTTTATAGGCAACCGAACTCAAAACGGTGGATGGAAACATAATAAAATATGAATTTATTTTAGAGGAATTATTCAATATATAATACATTTAAAGTTGTGTTTCCCTTAGAGGTGAAATGGACCGTAAAAATAAAATCATTGGTCTCAAGAAAAAGTTGAAAATTATTATTAATTTAGAAAAACAAACATCTTTCGTTGTCTCAAATGATACAGAAATCTAGACGTACCAAGTGACATCTCGAATGATACAAAAAGGCATGGAGATTAAGTGGATTGAGTAGTTTGTAGACACAGAGGGACAAACATGTAATTGCAAGCAACATAAATGAAGGTAAAACGTAAGTAAGTTATAAATTAGTCTCTCTTATTTTGAAATAACAAATTAACTAGTTTTTATAATTTCAAAAACTTATTATTTAATATTTTTAATCAGTATTGACAAGAATAAATTTAATATTTTTATTTTATAAAATATAATTTTTTCTCATCAATATTTATATTTATTTATTTATTATTTATTATTTTTAAAAAATAAAAAAATTAAATAATTAATTTTTAAAACTAAAATGATTAATTAATTCGCTTCTCAGAAGGAGGGATTAATTTATAATTTACTGCACAAAAAGTTCGACTACAAATAAATAAGAGTGTCAGCTAGTCAAGTGGTCTGTTGCAACTGACAGACAAAATCGCATAATAGTAAATTTCCACTAGCTGTCCTCCAAATTTCATACCCTTTTGCATTCATTGTAAATTTTAACTGAATTATCATTTTTTTTTCTTGTTAGTTTTGAATTAAGCGCTGATTTTATTAACAAAACTGAATAAAAATTTGATTTTTTGAATTTATTCAATTTTCAAGTTTTTAATTCGATTTGCATTAAAAATCGATATATATATATATATGATGAAACCTTAACAATCAGATGAAGAAAACCACACCGCCACCTCCTCTCTATCTTATTTAACCACCTCAAACATGCAACAACAAAAGCAGCAACTCAACTATTAAGGAGCCAATTTGTTAGATAAAAAATAGCAACTCTTCGTTCTCCTTTTTTCTTTTGATCAAATTCTTCCATTCTTGTTCCTATTCATCTCTAAAAAATCTCTAAGATTCTAATTAATAATCAGCAATGAAGCATTTAGAATTAAAATTCACACTTCATTTATAGACGTTAAGACGTTTGATAACCTAAAATGATATAAGAATGTTAATATAAATATTGAAAGGGAATAAATTTTTTCTGATATTTTATTATTATTAGACATACGGATTTGAGCAAGAATGAACATACGAAAATAAAAATTTGAATTTTTTTTTGTCATTCATGCAATGGTTTAGAGAAATGTTTAGTTTATTTTTTATCCGTTTCAAGTTATTATTAAATATTAAATTTTGGTTCAAACTCAACCGATGCGAGTTTCTAATAAGTCAATATGCAACATGTTTGTCCAAAGTTGGAAGATCAAAATATAAGAAAAAATTTAAAGCAGAAACTTTTACAAATAGAGTTTATGAAGCTATTAATGTCTATCAAAAGTTTAGTTGAAGTTGAGAAGGAATCAACATTTGCTATGAGTGAAAAAATGAGCAAAGTATTTGAAACTTTAGCGAACTTTGAAGACTTTCTTTAACTGAATTTGTTAAAACAACAAGCATTATTGAACTCTATCTCGTTGAAGTATTTTTTTAGCACTTTGGATAATTATAAGCTTATGTTTACATGCGTCGAGATTGGGTCTACTAATTAATTTCTTTTGAGTTGTTGCTACAATTAATAATAGTTGAATTTAAAATTTTATGCTTCTTTTTGGGATTTTTTAATAATGCATAGCACAATTGTTTGTTTGTTTGTTTCTTTTTTTTTTTTTTTTAATTCTTGAACTCTATCTGTTGTATTAACAAATGCTAGCTATTTTTTTTTTTTTTAATATGTAGCTTGTAATAACTATTTAAAGAGTGAGCTTTATCTTTTTTGTTTTTTGGTATTACAAGTTTTTATTTTAGTGAATTAAATTATAAATTCAACTACAATTTAAACGTTCAAATTTTAAATTATTAGCCACAACATGAATGAGTGTTTGTAACAAGGATGCTAAGTCTAGAAAATTCTTGAACTGTGATCTTAACAAATAAAACTACCTAATGAACCAAACAATTTACTCCTCAATATATTAAACGTATGTACCAAACATGAAAACGTCATATTAATGATTTTATCAACGGCATGCGAGTCAGGCCAATCATTATGCATGTCTGTAGAAATAGGTAACGATCTACAAAATATGTGATAATTAACTTTCCATATAACTCTAGACCAGCTGACAGAAGAAAACTACTTTTGTAAGAAGATAATCAACATTTGTACTAAGACAGAACTAAATAGCATCTCCATCAAGTAGGAAAATTATAATTTCTTAGAATAAAAAATGTTAATTATTTGGAGGAAAATAATATATATAATGCATAGAAAAAATATTACAAAAAACTCTAAATCATGTGGGCTTTTGACTGTTTTCAAATTATTCATCGTCTCACAGTTTACTGTAGATGCTCACCTATGTCCACTATGTTCCAAATTTCAGCCCCTATTGGCGGTCCATTATATGCTCTATGTGGTTGACTTTATGTGTGTCCTTGGTTTGTTACTTTTCTTGCTTTATTTTTTGTTTATTTATCTTTTTTTTTTTTTTTGTATAGTTTATTGACGCCCTTAAATTTTCTCTTTAATTCCTTCTTTGCCTTTTAGTGTTTTTGTCAAGTTACGCTTGTACCCCCTTTTCTTAAATTTGTTTTAACTAATTTTCTGCATATTTTCGTCAAGTGTTCATTGTTATGGGAGAGCATTTAATGCTTCACATGTGCAGTTTATTGGCATCTTTGCATTCCCTTCTTAATTGCTTCTTCGCCACTTACTGTTTCAATCAAGTTACGCCTGTGCTATCCTTTTCTTAGTTTTTGCTTTAACTAACTTTCTGATCCATTTTCATAAGTTTAATCATTGTTGTGGGAGAGCATTTAATGCTGCACTTGCTCCTGCTTCATTATTTTTTTCCCTTTCTTTTTTCGTACAAGCTAAAAGCTAACTACATTAATAAGATCATTTTTTTATACCGTTAAATTCACCATATTAATTATTATTTTCATCATTTTATTTTTTAAATATTTACTGATATATCATCTTTCAATGTTTTTTAAATAATAAGAATATATATTTTACATTAAATATCCAAAATATCCATTAAAATTAACACATGACAATATAAATAAAGATAATTGGTCCTCATTGTTTTGACATTTTTCAATCAAAATACAAAAGTTTCTCCACATAAAAATATTGAATAAAATCCATTGCCTTCGCTTGTTGTTGAAGGAAAAAAATACGAGGAAGATAGTTAGGCTCTGTTTGATCAGGATTTTCGAATAATAAAATCCAATTTTGGATAATAAGATTAGAAGCAGCTGACTTAAAGCTTAATTGACGCAGAGCATCAATCACAGCTTAAAGAAATGCGAAAAGGAAACCTGAAGGTGCTCAATCTCTCTATCACATCTAATTCTTTTGAAACTGATGTAATTCTTGTCTGCTTCAGTTTTTATTTCTTTGTTGAGCATCACATAATTTTGTTAGTTCTGCTTAAAAGATTGATCAGAAGTAATTATTAAACCAAAATTTCTTATTACAACTTATTCATCTGATCTGATCTTATCATGCTGCTCGAAAAAGAGGTTTTGAACCTAATAACTTATTTTGTTAGTTCTGCAGAGAAATTGAACAACTTGTGTTCTTTTCTCAATTTTAAGATTGTATTAGCCAAATAGGCATCTTCGTTGACTTTCATTTCCTACT